ATTTATACTCATGGCACTTCAGAAAGCTTATAGCAAGATGTAGATGAACTTCCAGACTACAAGAAACCATAAAAACAATTTCTTAACCAGAGCCTATTCTCACAAACTGACAATGCGACCCTATATGTGTCTACTGAGATTTATTTTCAGTGAAATGTATTGTGGGAGATAAGCAGAAAGCTAGCTAGAGCACTGCAAGAACTAAACAAAACAAAAAGTTAATAAATTGAACATTTGAATCTGCCTTGGTCTGAATCTGCCTTGGTTGCCCTGTATGATGACCTGTGCAGGGAAAGAGACAGGGGGAGTGTGTCCCTGTTGGTTCTCCTAGACCTCTCAGCAGCTTTCGATACCATCGACCATGGTATCCTTCTGGATAGGCTTGCGGGATTGGGAGCTGGGGGCACTGCTTTGCAGTGGTTCTGCTCCTATCTCAATGGCCGATTCCAGAAGGTGGTGCTGGGGGACTATGGCTCTGCGCCATGGCAGCTATGCCATGGAGTTCCACAGGGGTCCATTTTGTCCCCCTTGCTATTTAACATCTACATGAAACCGCTGGGAGAGGTCATTAGGAGGTGTGGGCTGCGGAATTATCAGTATGCTGATGATACCCAGCTCTACATCTCGTTTTCAACTAATCCAGGTGAGGCAGTGGCTTTATTGAACCGGTGCCTGGCCAAGGTAATGGGCTGGATGAGGGCCAATAAACTGAAGCTCAATCCAGACAAGACAGAGGCCCTGTTAGTAGGTTGGTGGGGCTTCGGGATGGGGGACCTGGACCTTGTCCTGAATGGGGTTGCACTCCCTCTTAGGGACAGGGTTCATGGCTTGGGAGTACTCCTCGACCCAGAGCTGTCATTAGAAGCTCAAGTAACAGCGGTGGTGAGGAGCACTTTCCTCCAGCTCCGGCTGTTCCATCAGCTGCATCCCTATCTGGAGAACAATTGCTTGGCAACAGTGACACATGCATTGGTAACTTCCCGATTAGACTTCTGTAACGTGCTCTACGTGGGGCTGCCCTTGAAGACGGTTCGGATACTTCAATTGATGCAAAACAGAGCTGCCAGGTTGCTGACAGGGACTGGGTGTTGTTCTCACATAACCCCAGTCCTCCGTCAGCTTCACTGGCTTCCCATTGAAGTCTGGGCCCAATTCAAGGTGTTGGTTATCACCTATAAAGCCCTTAACGGCTTGGGACCTGGTTATCTAAAGGAGCGCTTGCGTCCATATATGCCCTCCCGCCCCCTGAGATCAGCGGCAGAGGCCCTTCTCTGGGAGCCCTCCATGAAAGGTAATAGGAGGGTGAGTACCCGGAGGAGGGCCTTCTCTGTGGTGGTGCCCCACCTATGGAATGTGCTCCCCAGAGAGGTCCATCTGGGGCCGTCATTATTTGTTTTTCGGCGCCAGGCCAAGACCTTTTTATTTAAATGATATTTTAACTGTTAATTGTTGCTTTTATGTATTGGGTTTTTATAGCTCTGCCGAGATGTATCCGGATTTTTAAACTTTATTCAATATTTGTTTATTTGCTTTGTAAGCCGCCCCGAGGCTTTAAATAAATAAATAAACATTAGGAAGTGCACATGTGTAGGGAAGAAAGCTTTAGAAGATTCCCCCATATCTGGTATCACATCCTAAGATATGCTGAGAAGAAAGATACATGAGAAGTTTCCATTAGATGCTAATATGTACGTACACCTTTGCATTCATTTGGATCAAATGTGATTGGTTAACGTGTTCTCATGCTATATGACTGTAATAGTGGTATAAATTCTTTGTTCAAGCCTTTGTTCAGGGAATCTGCTCTTAGCAGATTACTTTGCAAAACCGTAATAAATCTTCCTCCATACCACAAAGAGCTAATTGCTTTATTGACCTCTAAGTCAACAAACCAGAGAATTACTTGCAAAATCTCTCACCTTCTTGTTTTGAAGAGAGAGTGAGATTTTTACAATTTTTCCAACAGTATACTCAGGTAAGAGTATATAAAATTGCAAATTTTTTAATGTTTCACCTACTAAAGATGCAGTCCTATGAATGTTTACCAACCTGAGTAAGTAAATAAATAAAGTCGTACAACTGCTAGCACTCTTCAACCAACTATGTGACTTCTGTTATGGGAGAAGGAAGGATTAATCGATAAAATATCAGAAAATATATTTTAATTGTCTGCTCTGTGTAATGATACTGCCCCAATGGCTGTCTTCCAGCCACTCCAGGGGCCTGGCCTCCAGAGGTCTGGTAACAAATCAAAATCTGCAAAAGCAGTCATTCCTGTGAGAAGGCAGTAAATATTTCCCTATATGCTTCCAAGGTAAGTCACCACAGAGAAGAACCATAAGAATAGGAGTTGCTCTGAATATGGTGCTCTTGGTAATCTACAGGCTGACAGGTAGTTGCAAATGGTGCTGTTCCTCAGCACAAAGATTTGAATGATTTACTTAGGCAGTAACAATATATGAAGTCATCATATGAGCAGAAGTACCTTGGAAGCAAAATGCTTTGAGCTTTCAGGAAAGAGGAAAAAACAGGAAATATTTTGCAGTGATATTTGGGACTTCTTCTCAGATAGGATTTGGTCCTGGATGCACTTTTTAATGCCAAGGTTCAACTCTGGTAAGCAAACAGCAATAGGATGCTGTGACTTGACTGTCTTAATGGGATACTGTACTTTTCATTATGTTGGTACAAATTGTTAGGCTCCTGATAACCCAGCAGTAGTGAATGCTCACATATGGCCTTCAGTGCTTCCCTACCTGGCCCACCAGCTTATTCCCTGGCTTCAGCCACCTCCTGCACCTTAGCTAGAAGTTCTTGTTTCTGATCAACATCATCGGCCAAATTTATTGATTTGTTTATTAGATCGATATTCTGCCTTTTTCTTACAAAGAACTCAAAGCAGCTTACATCATTCTCTTCCTGCTGCTCTCAAATTGTATCCCCACAACAACAACCCTGTGAGGTTGGTTGGGCTGAGAGTCTGTGACTGGCCCAAAGTCACCCAGCTGGCTCCATGGCTGAGTTGGGACTAGAACGCAGATTGCCTGTGTCCTAGTTCCATAAATAAGCCCACAATACGTACCATATAGCATCAGCTAATGTGTTGACATTGATATTAATGCAGAGATGAGTGTGGATTGTTGTTGAACTATTGGCTATTGTTAAAATGTGGGTTATCAGGCTGCCTTAACCTAGATGCATAACAAGTCATGGGTAGTTAAGCACAAACAACCCATGAAGGAAACCTATGGTTTATTGTTGGATTGTGAACTATGAGCTGTTTACCATGGTTTGTTATCTTTGACTGGGTTATTGTTGTTGTTGTTTGTTGTTATGCCATTTCTGTATCACCCACCTCTGGGCAGTTTTCAACGAAAGCTTCAGACAGCACAGCAGCTTATGTTTCAATGACATGATTCAAGGACAACCCACACTGAACCCATACTTAGTCCTTGAGTGTGGGTCATCCTGTTGTCAGAACTCAATCATTTTGTGCTGGGAAGCCCCCAGTCCAGCTCTCCTCTCTCCCATTAACTCAGTAGGTGGCTTTAGGTGATGCTCTCTCAGGCTTCCCACCCCATCTACCCCACCTCTGCAATATTGTAGCCAGAATAATACTGACCCCTGTGCAGTATTTTTGAAGGGGAAATGCTGCAGGTACTCTGAAGTCGGTAAGCCTTGAGATTAGTGTCACACACAAGTCAGAACAAGTCGACTCGTTCTGGAAACTTGAGCTCCATAGCAAGCCTCCTGCCCAGTAAAAGGTTTGTATCCCTGCATTCTCCAAGCTGGGTGGATTGACCTCAGCAAGGATTCTGATGCGTTCAGCAGGCCCCAAGTTTTTCCTCTGTCATGTAAAGAGCCCATGACCAGCTTTTCCTGGAGCAGGATAGCATCCCTGTGCTAGACAGGGTGTACATTTGTATTCTCACAGCCTCCAGTGTGAGAGCGATGCACTGGGGGCCAAAGCACCAGGACCTCAAGGCTTCAGCTTCAGTGTCCTCACTGCCACTGGCTTTCAATGTGATCTGGACTGTGCCGTGCTCATTTCCCTGGGCTTTGTTTTCCAGTCTGCCAGAGGAGGTGCACCAACAGATCCAGATCATAAACAGCAGCCTGGCTCAAGCAAAGCAGCTCTGAGTCTCATTAATGTCCAAATGGGAATCCACCCAAGACCCTACTTCTAGTGGGAAGACTTCTGTGAGGCAGAAAAGGGGCCCTTTTAAATTCTCAAGTCCTCAGACATGTAGACTATAAAGCCATCCCTGAGCAAGTTGATAATGGGAGTTGTAGTCCAGCACATCTGGAAAGCACCCATCCTTCACAGAGAATGCCAATCCATCCAAAACAAACCAAGTAAAATGTGGTTGATTCACTGATTCCCTTTCTTCCATATTTTCACCACTCATATTGTTCCCATAAGTTCTGAGAAATATCCAAGATGGCTTATGGAAAGATTTTGTATGTGTGTATGTATTTATTTCATGTCTATACATTCCCATAGCTGAAGTTCTCTGGGAAGTTTACAACCATGCATAAAATAATAAAATACAATACAAGTATCATAAAAACAAAACAATGTTAAGATGAATTCAAAATAGATTTTAAAATACAGTAAAAAAAAGACCCTGCAAAGGAAACAGTATCACTGAGCTAATCCCCTCAGGCCCCTGGCTAACTATGCAGATATTGAAAGGCTTCTGCATAAAAGGCTATCTTGACCTGGTGCCAAAAAGATGGTAAGCTTGGTGCCAGGAGGGCTGCAGTGGGGAGGTTGCTCCAAAGATGGGGAGCCACCAAAGAGATGACCTTCCCCCTTGGCACAGGGTTGGCACAAGAGGAAGTCCCCAGAGGTTGATTACAGAGTTCATTTTACTCTCTTTCTTCCAGTTTCAGGAGAAAGGCTAAGGAAATGATTCTCTAAAACTGTTTCTTTGACATTGTCCCCACAGTTCATTCCTCCCTTTGATTCAGCTACTCCTGATCTGGAGGCAATAAAAATGAAACTGGAAGAAATGGCTGAGCAGAATTATACTACAGTGACTGAGTTCGTTCTTCTTGGCTTCACAGCTCATGAACACACACAGGTAGTCCTCTTTGTGCTCTTCCTAGCCATCTACGCAGCTACAGTGGTGGGGAACATCGGCCTCATCATAGTAATCTGGATGAGTCCCAGCCTTCACAGCCCCATGTACTTTTTCCTCAACCACTTGGCCTTCCTAGACCTCAGTTATTCCTCCACCATTACCCCCAAGATGCTGGTCAATTTCATAGTCAAGAGGAAGACCATTACATTTGGAGGATGCATCGCACAAATGTATCTCTTCGCTTCCTTTGCAGATGTGGAGTGCCTCCTGCTGGCTGCCATGGCGTACGACCGCTACATGGCCATTTGTCACCCACTGCCCTACCCAGCCTTCCTCTCCCACAAGAGGTGCATCTGTCTGGTAACAGGCTGCTATCTCACAGGCAGCATGAGCTCTTTGGTGCACACTAGTTTAACATTACACCTTTCCTTCTGCAGTTCCAATGCCATCAACCATTTCTTCTGTGACATCCCTCCCCTGTTAGCCCTCTCCTGCTCCAGCACCCACATCAATGAAGTCCTTCTCTTCACCCTGTGTGGTTTTATCCAATCAAGCACTTTCTTGTTTATCCTTATTTCCTATGCCTGTATCCTTTCTACCACTTTGAGGATCTGCTCTGCAGAAGGCCGCTACAAAGCCTTTTCCACTTGCACATCCCATTTGATGGCCGTTGCCCTTTACTATGGCACCCTCCTTTTCATGTACGTACGTCCTAGTTCCAGTTACGCCCTGGATACAGACAAAATCATCTCTGTTTTTTATACTGTGGTTTTTCCCATGGTGAACCCCTTGATCTACAGCCTGAGGAACAGAGAAGTAAAGGATGCACTCAGGAGAGCACTGGAAAGAGATGTGTGCTTTCATTAGTGTTGAAACTCAGAGACAAAGGAATGGCAGGGCAGGCTCCTTGTCCACGGGTTATCTATGGAAGTCATAGTCAGGATGCTGATCTGGATCTACCAGTAGATCTCCTGGTAGATCAGCAAGCATTTCGGGCTCCTAAATACTTAATAGAAGCAGCATAAATTGACTCCTGTTTTCTGCCTCCAAAATGCTACTGAAATGAAGGAAGCTCATCATAACCAGGAACTGATTTTTGTGCAGAAGGACTGTGAGCTCCATTCAGTTCTGGTTCCCAAAACACATCCCTGGCGCTGAGAATTCATTAATTCGAAGTGTTTGTTTTCTACAGCATGGTGTGCCTGCTGGATCTCAGAGTTCTAGTAACAAAGGAGATCCTCAAAGCTTGAAGTGTGCCCAGGTCTAACCTATGGCAGATTCTGTTTTAACATCTCAAAAACCCTATGGATAGGCACACAAACAAAACTCAAGTGTATTGGAGGACTCCAAAGTCCATCTCAAATGTGTTCCATCTCTTAGTTTTTCCCAAATGTATTCCTTGTATTTCACATTTTTTAAATGCCTCCATTTTTCTCCCACTGGTTAAACCAAACCTAAGTATTTTCACGCACCAGTCTCAAGTGTACATAGGCTGAGGAATGCAATTTAGGGGGAGGCTCCATGAATTACATTACAAGCTCAGAAATGTACAGAATTTGACAGCAGATTGCCTTCATTCCATATTCAGTCTTGCAGGTGTCAACTGGGTAAATCCAGAAACTAATTTCTCATAAATCATATGCTTTACCTAAAGGTACCTGAGTGCCAAGAAACCATCCTTCTGTATGATTTTCTTCCCTTCTTCATAACAGTTTTCATTCTGAATGAATTAGTGGTCTCTTTCCTGTGATATATTTCTTCATCCTAGCCTGTTATTTAAACATTATTTCCAAGTGAAGCCTAGACTAAATATGATGGAGAGTGTTTGAATGCTGCTCCCAGCCTATATCTCTGCCCCATGTCTCCCTGGCACTGGCTTACCTGAAGAAGACTGGCACATGATGGGCTGTCACCTGGCACAGACTTTCACTGCAAGCGGCAGTCCATCAAGTGGTGCATTGGCAGGAGAACCCTGCACAGAATAATGCCCCATCACACAATTCCTATAACTAAATATCACCAGGGAGATGTCACAGGAAGTGTGACAGCCATGCATAGAAACAGAGTGAGTCAGAAGGGGCCTCCTGGGCCATCTAGTCTGACCCCCGGCTCCAACCGGCTCTGCTCACGACATGCCCACCATGTCCAGCATTTAAAACTGTTTTCCCACAAATGTGCAAAACTATTCAG